TAAATAAATCCTGTATGGAAATATTTTTTTTTCTAGTACATGTTTATATAAACAGTCTATTTTGTGAAAAAAAAAGAACCAGATTGTACTGAGATTTGCTTCAAAGTAACAAGGGAGAGAAGGTAAAAAGGATAGATGAAAATAGACCGTTAAGCTGATAACTACTAAAGTGGATGATCAGTAGTAAGGGGGGGTGTCATCACCTTCCTATTTTTGTATATACTTGAGGTTTGTATCAAAAATAGCTGAAGGGAAACCTTATTAGATTTTATGCTCTATAAATGGATGAGCAATTACTCTACTTTTCCTGTAGAAATTCACTTAAATTCTACCACCTTCTAAAACAGACCAAACCATTCTAATGGTTAGAAAAAAGACAAAATGGAGATATTATGAACACAGTATTTTCCATTTTGTCCTACTAGTTTTTCAGAGCACTTGCTAATTCACTGCAGAAAGACTGGTCCAATTCGTCTCCCACAAACATAATTACCAGCACTGTGCCCAAAACAAAATACTGCTGCAATTTTGTGAATACTCAGGATCCTCAGACTATCCATATCATCAATAATAAATAATTTGAATGTTTTCTATGTGCTAGGCCCTAAGCTAAAATGCATGCGTTATCTTCTTAAATCTAACAAACCTATGAGATCATTATTATCCCTACTTGTACATGAGAAATTGAAGCTCACAGTTTTAAGTATTTTGCACAATGTCACCCAACATTAAGTGATGGAGTTAAGAGCTGAACCTAGGTCTAGGCCGGGCGCAGTGGCTCATGCCCATAATCCTAGCACTCTAGGAGGCTGAGGCAGGAGGATCATTAGAGGTCAGGAGTTTGAGACCAGCCTGAGCAACAGCGAGACCCTATCTCTACTAAAAATAGAAAAAAATTTTAGCTGGCTGTGGTGGTACGTGCCTATAGTCCCAGATCCTCGGGAGGCTGAGGCAGGAGGATCGCTTGAGCCCAGGAGTTTGAGGTTGCTGTGAGCTAGGCTAACGCCATGGCACTCTAGCCCAGGCAACAGAGCGAGACCGTCTCCAAAACAAAACAAAACAAAAAATCAACCTAGGTCTAATTCTAATTTTTTCACAAATTGATTTTTTAAATTAAGCCGAGTGCAGTGGCACGAGCCTGTAGTCCCAGCTACTCAGGAGGCTGAGGCAGGAGGATCATTTGAGTCTAGGAGTTGGAGGTTGCAGTTTGCTATGAAGGTACCACTGCATTTCAGCCTGGGCGACACAAGGAGACCCTTCTCCTTAAAAAAAAAAAAAAAAAAAAGAAGGAGGGGGAGAAAAGAAGTATAGAAATGATAATCTGGTCAACCTGCACATTAACTTCATGTAAGTCATATCCTGAACCTGCCTATAATTTCTTTCACTA